GTGTGATCTTGTTGAGTTTTTGAGAGTTTTTGGTGTGCTTCTCTTAGACTGTGTATGCGTGTAAGGCAATATATGCGTATGGTTCTTGGGCTTATGTCTCCAGTGTGTGTGCATACATATGTGGTATTCCCCCTTTTTTGTGTGCTTTAGGCCTGTATTTATAGGGATGTGAGGGTGCATGAAACTGGCAAGGGACAGCCATTTAACTGGGCTTTTAAAGCCATGAGACAAGAATCAGACATTTTAAACAATTTCTTTTTTGGGAAATATCCATGCCTCTTTGGAATCTTGGATGAACTGGGACACCTTTGTCTTTCGAATTCCTTCCAGCGTTGCTCTTCGATAGGCCTAGAGTCTTCATTCGAAGTGTTCAAAAACCTCCTTATTAAAGCTTCTTCGGTTGAGTCTATCTACTTTCCCTAGCTTCTTGATTCAAACAACTCAAATAAAAACTTCATTCTGGCCAATCGAAACCTCCTTTGTCACCACCTTCAAATGCCATTACACAAGAGGCTTGGGCCTGGCCATATTAGGACCAAGACCCATCATAAGAGAAGCTTGTATTCAGTAACCATGCTCCTTCGAATGGACCAATGAATGCTTATTCGAAGGGACCTCGTGAATGAGCCTTCGAAGGGACTAACATGTGTGTCGAAGTTTGAAAAACAGTTTCAAAGGGGACCATTTCCCAGTCGAAGCTGGCACAAAGGAAGACAATGCCTTATGGGTTGAAGGAAGCTTTTTTCCTGGTGGATTGAAGGAAAATCTGAAGGAGTCTTGGCCTTGTGTGTTGAAGGCAAGCTAAAGATGGGGCCTTTACCTTGTGAATCGAAGGCATGTCTAAAGCAGCCATTTGTCTTGTGAATCAAAGACTAATGAAAAGGGCATTTTTCCTTGTAGATCGAAGGCAAGCTGATGGGTGTTTGCCTTGTGAAGCCAAGGCAAGCATGAGGAAGCTTTTGTGAATTAAGCTTGATCGAAGGAGATTCAGCGCCCAATCGAAGCTTGTATGTAGGAGTTCACTGCTGGTGAATGGAAGAAAACTTGTAGGGGATTCTTGCTTGTGAAGCTTGAACCAAGGATTGTTCGAAGGGGAACCAACGCACAATCGAAGCTGATGGGCCAATGCTTGGTTGAAGGGTTTTAGGAGCCCAGTCGAAGCTTGTTGTTATGCCAATCGAAGGACACTGTTTAGATTCCAATGAAGGACATTGTTAAACTGCCAATCGAAAGACACTTTGCTAACATTCAAAAATTTCATTTTTTTAGGAAAGTGTTTGTAACCACCCATATAAGAGAAAAAACCTTGGGAAACATGAGAGGGAAAATTTTGGGGCACAACACCTACATTGCTCGGGGATATTCTGCATTCACTCCATACCCGTACCATGAAGAAGCGAGGGACTCTTATGTGTTGTATACCTCTACTTTATAGGTGGTTTATTTCGCACTGTTGTACCCCAAAATTTGCCCTCCCATTTCCTCAATATTTTCTCACCACAAGACCGTTGGAGCTCAAGATCCAGTTAGGGTTTCCTCTGCTCAAGACTCCTCCTTGCACTGTTGACCCAAATTAGGGTTTGAGTTTGCACAAAGATGTTTTGACCTAAAATGCCTAGGGTGACTTCCATGCTTCATATTGGGCTCCTAAGTTTATCCCTACCAAGTTTCAAGTCTTGATTCCAAACTTTGCCCAATCAATTGGACAGTTGACCTAGAAATCAGTTGTATTAGAAAAAAAGTCAACTGTGGTCAATTGACAGTCAAACCTCATGAAATTTGATCCACATCAACATATTGAACTCATATAAACCATTTGGTCAAATTTGGATCACAATTCCACAAGAAATTTGATCAGATCACCAAAAGGACAAAATGGTCATTTTTAGGGTTTTGACTGCACAAAGGCAATTTTTGACTGTTTGACCTAGCCAAAGGCAAACCAAGCTCACATATGGACTCAAGGACCCAATGGAATTGTCTTGACATGTTCAACAAGTTCAAAAGATCCCAAATGCACAAGATGGACAGATGAATTTTCCAGTCAATTGATCAATTTTTGACTGTATACTGAAAAGTCAAACTTTGACTTTTTGGTCAAAATCAAGTGTCAAGATTCATTTTTTCATCAAAACATGTCAAAATATGAAACTTGTTCATCAAGAAACCTAAAATTGCAAATTAGGGTTTAAAATGAAGAATTTTCATAACTTAGAATTTTTCTAAGTTATGAAAATCCCTAATTTTTTCCTAACTTTGTCCCATTTTTTCATCAAGATGCATTTGGATTCAAGGAAAACACAAAACATGAAAGTTGTAGTCCATTTCAAAATCTATAACTTTGATTCACAAAGTTTCCTCAAAAGAAGCTTGTAGCTCAAGTTATGATTTTTGGAATAAGGGTGCAAAACATTTCTTAACTTAGAAAATTTTTTACCTATTCTAGGCAGGATTTTTGCCTAACTTCATGGCCACTTTCCACATGCTTCCACTTGGAATTTCAATTTGCATTACGAATATGGATTGTAGTACACATTCCAAGCTTTCCAAAATGTCCAAGAACTCATCAAACAACCTTGTGGTTAGGGAGAATCGAATTTGGCAATTTGAGCAAAAGTCACTTTGATTCATGGCCATGTACATGTTCATACACTTTGCAGTTTTTCAAATCAGCATGAATAAGCTAGTTACAGGCCTCTAATCCTTTTCTTACTCAATAATTAAATGCCAATCCATTGTGTTTTAGCTTTGTTTTGTTCATATAGTCATTACACAAAGAATTAAGCCTTAATTGGAAAAAGTGATTTATCCATTTTTGTAAAGTAGAACTTTATGTCAAGTTTGAAAATCAAGAGGTACAATGCATATCTTTGGGCACAAGATTCATGGACATAACACACTGATCAAGACTAAATGATGCAGCACATTTGAGGGGCATGTACAAGCCTAGAAACCAAGTTGGCATTTCCTTGCTTCACATACACTACAAGAAAATTAGTGTTTAACGACACAAAAATTGCGACAGTTATGTGATAACTGTCGTAATTGACATATAGAGACAGTGTTTACGACAGTTGACACCAACCGTCCCTAATATTTATTTTGCGATGGTATAATTAACCATCATAATATTATTATTACGACGGTAAAACAACCGTCGGCCTCCATTTAACACTTTTAACATTGATTTTTCACCAACAACTAGTCACGACGGTAAAATTAACCGTCCTAAAAGGCATATCACGACGGTAAAGCACCCGTCGCACCCTTAAACCTTTCACGACGGTAAAATTATCCGTCCTAAAATTCATTTCACGACGGTAAAACAACCGTCGCACCCAAAACCTTTAAAAATTCTCATGGGCACGACGGTAAAACACCCGTCGCCGTAAAAAAGTTAAAAAGCTCTTAAAATACATAAAAATTTTGAATAGTTAAAATTCTATCATTTTTTTATTCTAAAATTTGGCCTTTTCCTATCAATATATTATACACAGCCTAGATGCAAAAATATGTACTATATGTTTATTGACAAGTTGCAATGTATAATGATTATTTTTGAATAGTTAAATAGCAATACTGAAACCTGACTGGGATTTGATGCATATGAATAATATATGTCAAAAAGTTATACTACTTAATTTATGCAATAATGAGAAAAAATAACAGTCATGTGCTTCTCTGTTAGATTTAGATTATAGAAATTTTATTCATACTTCACCATCCGGCACCGACCATCCATACTTCACCATCCATCCATACTTCACCATCCGGCACCACCACCGATTCAAGATTCGACAACCAATCACCCCAAAACCAACTCCCAGAAGCGGAAGAAAGAGGTCAATTCCAAGTTACAGCACCTACGAACACCAGAAGAGAAGCTAGCTTAAATCGAAACCCTAGAAAAGGAGCTCGGGGGTTTGTTTGAGTACTACAAAGGGGTTTTGGGTAAGAAGGTTATTGTTGACCTTAAGAAATGCGGTGGGTCGAGAAACACGGTTCACAACATTGAGCCAATTGCATTGGTAGGTAAATTTTTTAAAAAATAATTTTCAATTCCATTATTAATTTATTTTACCTTTTTATCCCTCTAGATAGATCTGGTGTTCATGAAATTCATCTATAATTGGCTTTGTTTTTTTTGTTTGAGAGGTTTTTAGGTTAGGCTTGCTGTGATTATTATGAACACACAAATTGTTTGGGAAATTAACCAAGTGATTGACAATTTCTTTGTTTGCTGTGAAATTGAATTCAAGGAGATGCTTTTACACAATTTAGTCATTATTGTTGTTGTTGTTCAGTTGTTGTTTTGATCCCTTTTCAGGATTTTAATTGAAATCTAATGTAAATTATGTAAATTGTTAGAAAAAAAAGCCATTTATAGAAACTCACATTCTTCTTTCTTATGAAAATGTGGTTCAAATAAGCTGAATACTTTGTGTGGTAAGGATGAAATATGTAATTACTGAAACAAACTCTTGCTTGTTTATTAACTTAGGATGAATTGTAGCATTAAAGCCTTAAAGGTCAATGGCATTTTAAAATGCAAGGTTGATAAGGGTGTTTTCCAGGTAATTTTATGCTTTCGTATTGTTTTAGTGCGGAGTCGAGGCTTGATTGTCAGTGCTTTTTGTTGTGTTTTTGAATAGTTGATGCAAGTTCTTTATTTTGTAAAGGATATTGCTTCAAGACTTAAAGCTGCTGTCAATGAAGACTTAGAAAAGCTATTTCATAAAATACTCTTGTTAAGCTTAAACTAATGACCTAAATATAAGGGATTTCCAATCTCTTTCTAGTTGGTTGTTTCTTGGCAGTCAAGTAAAAACTGACATGAATTCATGTTTTTTAGCTCGTTGCATGGAAAATTGATTTGGCTTATCGTTATTCGTATGTTTCATCTGTTTATCCATCTATCTAAACTAATCAATACTCTGTAGTGCTGATTATTTTAAGAAGCCTATTGCCTTTATTTTGTGTCTTATTCTGCTAAGGAATTTATGGACATGTTTTCAGTGACAGTGAAAAAATCACCTGTAGCATACTTCTTGGAGAAAGTTGGCAATGGAAATTCTTTATGGAACACAACAACTCTTGGGGATGAAAAAGGAAGAGAACGGGTTTATGACACTATCTTCCGCTTGCCATGGAGATGTGAATTGGTATTTGGTATACTTGTCTTTTCTTGTTTGCAGTTCTAGATGTTGTAGATGGGTATGCTCCAGTGTTTAGTTGCTAGAAGTTTCCTTCAAACTTATCACTTGATCAGAAAAAAAATATAATGTAGGCGTTTTGGGGGAAGGATGTAACCCGAAGCTATTCATTTACTGTGAAATAGTTACTTAAGAATTGTGTTTGTGTATTTCTGTTTATGCATTCTACTTTTTATGTCATGGTATCTCAAGTGCTAAATTCATTTGCAGCTTATTGATGTTGGCTTCTTTGTCTGTTTCAATTCTTTTCTGTCATTGTTAACTGTGATGCCAACAAGGGTGGTAATGATCGTTTGGAAGCTTCTGAAAACAAGGTTTGCCACCTTTCTTCATGATCTGTCATAATACTTTGATGTCATTCAGTGCACCTGTTAGGATTTAGATGATATACTTATCCCTTTGCATCTTTTTGTTTAGTTTAGAGTTTTCACTTGAGCTGTGAGCATTTAGTTCAATTTTGTATTCAATTTCCAAAATTGTATTAAATTTACGAAGGAAATTGAACATGGTTCGTTTTTGTTGACTCGTAAAAAGGATTTAGATTGGTTTAATGAGACAATCTACCCTGATTTTGTGTTTACCAAAAAAGTTGAATCTATCACATACTTAATGATATGGTCTGCTAATTCATGTGCTTTGATTTGTTGGCTCTTCTACTAATTCTCATGTTTAAAAAATTTGGTGGTGATTCATGATTTCAGTTTAATTATTTAATTTAATACTATCAACATGACCTCGTCATGCTCATGGCAGGAAGTTCAAGAGGCTGTCTCCAGTTGAATTGTCGGATTTTGGCTATTTTATTATTATGGCTTGTGGAATCACTGTTTTGCAGCAAATAGGTTTAGTTCCATATACATATTTCTGTTTTTAATTATCAGGTTGTTTCTTATGCTGAAATTGGTGTTATGCTCACCACTCCTAATTTTTTGTTGTTTTAGATATCAGCTTCATATATCATATAATCCGTGGTCAAGCAACAATCAAACTGTATGTGATCTACAACGTCTTAGAGGTGAGCATAAATTAACCCTTATCCAAATTTTACTTAGTAATTTGCTCTCCTTTCATACCAAATATTTGGACTAACCCTATTATAGATATAGAGCAATAAGATTGTGACCAACATGATATATTCCGAAATATGAAAGAATGGAATTTTATGATTTCTCCCGATATATTTTGGAGGGGAAGATTCAAAGCTTTGGAGGGCCAAGTCTATGTTTTAATATATAGTTGATATTTTAAATAAGTTGAAAGAACAACATGATACATGAGGCTTATAATACCATGTTGTTCTTTTAATTTTTTTAAAGTATAGACTTAACCTTCCAAAGCCTTCCCCTCCAAAAATCAATTCACAAACACACCCTTAGTGGTATGAATTGAAACTTATATTGTTACTCGTTCTTGAACCTTTTTGCAGGTATTTGATAAATTATGTCAAATTTTTAATGGGGATGTGTTGCAAATGTTATTTTATTCGGCCGAAGAACTTGGAAGGTGTCCTTCTGAAACACGGAGTATGAGACTCTGCATTTGGAGATTTATTTCGGACCAAATTTTAGCTGTTGTTACAACAAATATCCTTTTTTCTCTAGGATGATATCATGATAGTTTTTTTTTACCTGTATTAGTTCTCTACGTTGGGTTAATTTCCTTAACTAGTCATACTTGTTCATTCTTTTATTTTATTAGCTCAGGCAATTACTTTATCAGCCTGCATTGTTGCTCACTACAATGCACTGCCAGCTCTGCTGGTGTCAAATAATTTTTCTGAGATCAAAAGCTACGTGTTTAAGGGATACAAAAAGGACAATATTCATAGTATGGTGTACTTTGGTGAGTTATCTTTCCAACAACATTTGGTTTTCATTCTGTTAGTAGCGTATTTGTGACTTTTTTTAAAATTAATTTTAAACATGAAAAAGGGCCTTAATACCTTGTTTCATTGGCTAATTGTTAGGATACAATTTAAGTGAATCCTCAGAAGCTAAAGTCTTCAAATTATCTCCCAAATCTGAAATCTCAACTATCGATAATGATAACCCAGTAAAATTGCTTAAATGTTATACAACTTCAATCTAAAAATAAATCACCTTCTTTTGTTCCATTGCTTTCGAGTTTCAACTGTACTCTTGTGCTACACATAACTTTGGTGCATCTCTTTTCTTGCTAACCACAAGGGAACAAACACGATCCGTGCCCAGCATTCAGCTTAACCCCTTAGAAAATGGTATGAGTTCTGTAGCCTTTGACTCGTCGCTCTCACTTTTGCAAGCATTCGCCATTTGCATTGCATTAGTTGATAGCAAGATGCCATGTGAGCTTTCTGGAACAAGAAAGTCGCAAACCGAGGAACTAAAGGCTTTTGGTAAATTAGAAGATATTCCTACAAGTTATGTTTCTAATCCACCAGTTTCTCCTGTTGGTAGGGTCTAAAATTAACATGTGGTAGAGAAATGTTTACACAAGCTAGAGCATATGAAAAACATTGACAGTTTATAAATAATACAAAACAGATCTAGTAATCTGGAATTCTGTTAAATTATATCATAGATGCTATTGAGGGTCTGGAGCACAGTACCGGCCGTTATTTATACACTGAGACTTGCATTGATTGCTTAAGAGAAAATCATTAGGGCAGTACCAAGTTATAAAGTGAGGAGTAAATTGAGTGAACCCCTTCTTCTCAAGAAACTGAGCTGCACCCCTTCATGCATCTGAAACATGAAGTGTCTTCTGCACTAGAATGAAAATAATAATGTTTTTGTTGGATTTAAAGGGATATGAGTTGTTGAAAAATATAAGATTTCTATTTGATAAATCTATGATTTCTACCAACTATTGATATGCTGCTTTGGTTTTTGTTGCAGGTAACTTTTCTCTTCCACTTGCTTCGCTGCTCTTCAAACCCTCGTGCGTCTTTGAGGTATGATTTCATTCTTAAATTTGAGTGTGCCTTTACTATATCACTGTTTAATAGTGTTAGACTAAAGAATTTTATCTTATAAGAATTTTATCTTAAATTTGAGTGTGCCTTTACAAATACATTATTCTTATAAGCAATTGTAATAACCAAAATTGCAATGTTTGCAATCGCATTCATACGGGACCGCAAAAGCACTTTAAAATCCTAACACAGGCAATCATATTCTTAACGCAAAGGGACAAGGCGAGGACAAAGGAAATTGAACTCTTAATGCAAATGCAGAATTTTAGTGGAAGACAGGTATATTAATTTGACGCATTTAAAGTTAAATTTTATGAGTATTATTTTAATACATTTTTTTAGGGATTGGAATCACCCGCTGATGGTAGACGTTCATCTGAGTCTAGCTACCGTATTGGAGATAATGGAACTTTAGAGGGGACAAATTAGACTTTGCTATGATCGAGATAATTAGATTGTGAACTTTCTCATGTATTTTTGGCATAATGATACTTATTATTATAAGATTAGGAATTGATATATTTTGGGTTTTTTGTACTACTTGACATGATTATGGAACTCGCATTTTACATGATTATGGAACACACATTTTTTTGGATATTATAATGCTTATTTGATGTTAAATATTTTTTATTGAAATTATTTTTACTATATTACAAAGTGATAGAAAATAAAACAAAAAATAATACTATAAATAAATATATTAAAGAAATAATTTAAAGAAAAAAATAACACAAAAAAAAACTATATTTAAAATTTTTTACATAGATAATAATTTAAATAAAAAATATATATAATAGAAAAATAAAAAAAAATCAAGACATAAACAAAAGTCATGGCGACAGTACCGAACCGTCGTAATCAACAATTAAAAATAATCAACAAAAGTCATGACGGTATCGAACCGTCGCCATAAACAATTTAATCAATTTCACAAGATATTCACGACAGTATCGAACCGTCGCCATCAATAATTAAAAGAAACTCAAAAGATAGTCACGACGGTATCAACCCGTCGTAAACTAGAACGACAGTTTTTGTAACCGTCGCAAAATAGGTTGGGGACACACACTTCTGCGACGGTAAAGCAACCGTCGTGGAAAGCAAATTGCGACGGTTTTAACCGTCGTAATCTACAAAAATACCTGTCGCAATCTGCCAATTTTCTTGTAGTGATAGAAGAAACCTTGCATTTTGAAACACAACTCTCATTTCTGCTAACACAAGCTAATACAAACTTTTTGTACACCTTCCAAACATCAAACCTAAGCTAAGGCACGAGCCAAACACCTTCCAAACATCATCAAACCTCAAAACACCCTCCCACTGCAGAAAACAGAGTGACCTCTGCAGTTTGACTTCCATAAGCCAATCCATTCATGCATTCTTGCTAAATCCAGTTCATACACATTCCATACCACATACACAAGTTATCCCAAGCATTGGACACGACCTGTAACACCTCTAACCAACTTCACCATTTTCACATTTTCTGTTTTGCAGGTGGATTGCTATAGCTTGATTCATTTGGTTTCAAAGCAAACTAAAGGTTGGAGAAGCATCCCTGACCTTCAAGCAAGCTGTACCAATCCTCACTTTGCCTTGAGAGTGCCTCCATTGCCAGATACGATCCAAGCTGAACAGGTAAGTTCATGGACTTCTACCTCTCAATCTAGGAAGAGTTAACTTTAAGTTTGTGAATGAAAAATGTCATATTCATGCCCCTGAAGCTATACCTATCCTCACTTTCCATTTATATTGCATATGCTGAGAGTATTTTGAACCTGAACATTGACAAAAACTTAGGTTAAGAATTAGGGATGGAGAAATTCTCTCTCATTTCTGAGAGTTAAGTTAAGTTTTTTATATGTCTGGATTCGTGGTTCAATGCTTGACATTTTTCATGTTATGAGTTTGTGCTGAAAATCAAAGAATCAAGAGATAGCAAGCAGGGAAGAAAAGGCGCATTTTTTCAAATGTTGTTGTCTGAAGGTTGAAGACAACCTTTCATGGGTTGGGCCTGAAATGCTTTCCTTTTCACACCACTGTTTTACACATGCACCCCCTTGGCCCATTTTGAGATATCTTTATTATTTTTGATTTTTTCCTTTTGATTTTGTTTTTATATTTTTGTCTAAACATAAAAAAATATTAAAAATATTTTTCCCCACATTTTTTTGCATTTTTTTGACATTTATTTTGTTTCATTTAGTTTTGTACATAAATAAATCTAAACATACTTTTATTTAAAATACAAAGAAATAATATAAAACACCTTTTATTTTCTGATTTTTATTTTATTTTTATCTTTTGAAAACATTTTATAAAAAAATATATTTAATTTTAATAAAATTAAATATTTAGTTTTGTACATATAATATATATTTGATAAATAAGGTAAATACTTATATATTTATTAGTATATTTAGGTTTAAAATATAAAAAATTAATACATTTTTATTTTTATTAATATTTAACTTGAAAATCACTTTTTGACAATATACTTTCTTTTTATTTATTTTTTACACATAATTAATAAATATTGTATATAATACTTAAATAAATAATTAATACCTTTTATTTAGCAAAATTAGGGTTTTTTGCCTTAATCATGAAAATATTCAAAAATTAACTTTCTTTTAATTATTTTTATTTTATTTGTGAATAAAATATACACTTACACAGAAACATCTTCACATACATATTGCTTTATTCTTATATATCTTTATATTTATATTTGCGCAATTCGATTTGGTTGTAAATATTGGACACTATCCTCCTATGAAGTCTCATCCCCATTTGAACATTTGTACCCCCATTCCCATGATCATTGTGTAATAACTTAGGACCTTTTATTTTGCGCATTTAAAAGCTTTCTAATTATGCCATGTTAGAATTAGGGTTTTGTATGCAAATCAAAAACAACAAATAGTTTGACCTAAATTCAAGATAAACAAGCATGAAAATGGACAACACTAATCACACTTGCACCCCCTAGGGTATTCCACTTGTTGCCTTCAATAATGGGTCATGTTGCATGTTAGGTATCTTTGGCAAAAACAAAACAATCAAATGATCATAGTCCCTCGATGACGCTTTCAAAAGTTGCCTAAAAATGATCAAGTCCCTTAAAGGAAAAATTGCCCAAAGATACTTGGCACCATTGCAATCATGGTCTAAACGATGACCCGCGCCCGTCCCGTTCACATCCTAACACAAGATTGTCCACCAAATACAATGGTGGAACAAAATTGTTAAAAGGGTTAAAACATAGCAAAGATCTTTGAGAAATTTAGAGTAGACAAACTCTTGGTTACTTGCCAACTTGCAAAACAAAAACACTTGCCTATTTTTCAAAACCACACTTCACAATACACTTTCAAAACAAATTTCAAAAAAACATTGAAAACCTTTTCAAAAGACGTACACCTTTGTATACATCCCAACATGGATCATTACAAAGGTTGCCACCACATTGGCCTCTTTTCAAAACATTTTCAAACACACACGCAAAGCACCATTTCAAACAATTGAAAATCAAGGCAAGTTGATCTAAGCAAGTAACTAAGAGCCCATGGATAACCATGGATAGAAAGGGTGCTAATACCTTCCCTTTCTATAATCTTCTCCTCGAACCCAAGAAAACATCTAAAAGGTTTTTGCTGTGCTTTTTAACCTTTCCTTAGGATAAAATAAAAAGTCGGTGGCGACTCTTGCTCAACCGAAACATTTGCGAAAATAAAACGCAAAAACCTCAAGTCAGTTCTCCCACCGTATCACACGCACCTTCCTCAGTCAATAATGAAGAATGAATTAGGTTTAAGATAAAACCAAAGATTAATGTCTCTTTCTCACTCTGACATCTATTGGTGCCCTCGCTCCCAAGAAGACATCACTTTTATTGATCGCTACAGAGATTTTCCCAATGTTCCACTCCTTGGCGTTAAAGGAGGCATCATCTACAATCCCTCTTTAGCTTTATGTCAGCTCGGTTACGCCCGGAGGGCTAGTTCTCATGATATTCTCATTCAAGGTATTGTGTTCAACTATTCAAATGACATGCAAGGTTATCATCAGAGGTTCATCCGCGTTTGGGGAATGGTTAAGAAGACTGATAGCAGGACTCTAGGGCACAAGATCTCCATCCATTTGGAGCCATACCTCAAATGGGTGCGAGCTCGTGCTCAAAATCTTATGATATCGTATGTTGCTATCCTACAAGTGATTTCAGAGCCTATTGTTCAAGGGGTCGAGTCTCGCATCATTCTGCATCCTGATATGCCAACAAACTTCAAAGAATTGCAAAAATCTTAGGTACAACTCAAAGAAGAATGAGATACCTTTGAGTCCCAATTCTATGCCAGTGAGAAAAAGGTGTTGGAACTGACAAAGCGGCTTCACGAAGAGCAGAATCTCAACACCCACATTAGCACCAAAAGGAAGCGTCCTTGGGAGACTTAGGAATCATAGAAGTTTTTTATTTGTTATTCCTTTGTAAACTTTTATTTCATTTGAACTTACTAATAAAAAGTCTTTGTTTCTGTTTTGGTTAAAAGAGTTTGAATCCCATAAGGCCCTTAAAAACATTGCATAAGCATATCACGCATATCATTGCATAAACAGGTTGTTAAAACAGGTTTCTTATTCTTTTCGATGTTTATTTCAGCAAAAGAAATGGATCTCGAACAGACAGTGAATGATATCCAAGCTCAGAATGCTTAGTTTCAGCAAATGTTCCTGGCTCTGGCCTAGGGACAGGAATATCTGAAAGTTCTTATCATCAAAGAGAATACCCATAAGGTAAATAAACCAGCTTGTGTAGTGAATTTGGGAAGAAGGATCAGAGGACTGGTTAAGCGAGCTATAGATTTCGTAACCCCGTCAAATGAGGGGGACAATCCAGAAGAGAAGCCAGTGGAAGAAAACAACAATCTAGGGTCTGAGGAAGAGGAACCTGACTATTCTGAGAAGCAGTATCCTCCTGCTGATGATAAATACAAACAGCTAGAGGATCGACTCAATGCTATAGAGATCCAGAGGATACCCGGGCTGGACTTTGAGGAGTTAGGAATGATTTCAGGGGTGGTCATCCCACAAAAGTTCAAGGTCCCTACATTTTCTAAGTACGAAGGTGTCTCTTGTCCTAAGCTTCATTTAAGGTCGTATGTCAGGAAGATTCAACCTCACACTACTGACAGGAATATGTGGGTACACTTCTTCCAGGAAAGTTTGTCGGAGACTCAGCTTAAATGGTTCTATCAACTAGAGAGAACCAACATTCACAATTGGGAAGATTTAGCTGCTGCTTTCTACAAGCAGTACCAATATAATGTTGACCTCGCCCCGACTCGTACACAGTTGCAAAGTATGTCTATGGGTTACGGCGAAGGTTTTAAAGATTATTCCCAAAAATGGAGAGACCTTGCGGG